CATTAAATTGCGTAGCCTTAGCTATGCACATTTAATATTTTATAAGTTTAGTACAAATTAACTGGTATACCAAACAATTTTAATACATTTTCATTTCCTTTCTCCAATTATTTTTAAAGGCACTGAGCATTTTCAATTTCGACCTCCTAAAAGTACCAACTAGATCCAATTTGTTTCCAAAAACATACATCGGGCATCGAAGCTTATGACCAGAGCATTTTTTCTACCATAAAGTTGAGAAGTTACAAACATTTTTAAATACCTCAAATAAACGTCTGAAATTATTAGACTGGACAAAATGAAAATAAAATTGTAACTAATTTTCAAGCCCCCCCCCCCACATTGAAAAAACCTGCGTACGCCACTCACAGATACCTAATATTAAATAATATAATATACATTATTGTTTATTTTTCGTACAGAGGCCTCATTTAAAACTTTGGTCCCTGGGCCTCAAAATGTCTTAATCTGGACTTGAGTACAGATATTGACTGTTCTGTGTGGTGCAGTTTATTATTATACATACCTAGGTACTTTATACATTGTATGGATTGAACTATCTATAACAATGCACATAATACTATATGATGTGCAATGTGCATAATATACAATAATATTCGGACGTGAATCACGTGAGCGACTTAGCTGCAGGGTAAACTAGGAGGAGAGCAAAATAATTTATTTGCCGAAATCGAAACCATAATTTCTGATTGTTTGATTTTAGAGCTTAGAAACAAATCGTAGATACTATTATATCGTTGAATAATATCAAATACATAATATTATTATAATGAGCTCACTAAAAAAAATAATAGTGCTAAACTTGTTTGAAAAAAATAATGTGAAGATAATCCTGTAAGTATAATAACAATGTATTTATGAAATAATATTTTGTGGTTATTTTTGACCTAACCCTGCAGATAATGCAATAACGTTGACAACACGTCTACATAATATTATTATAGATGGGAAAAATGTGAAATAAATGTAAGTACTCTATGCGATTAGTAATTTGAAGAAAATTATATTATAACATTATATTTTTATAATATTGCACGTTAAATGTATTGGCATTCTTTCGTTATTTTAAGAGATTTAAAGATTTCTACTGTTGGTTTATCTCTGTGGGAGCAAAATAAATAAAATAATAGGTTTGCCCCCCCCCCCGCAAAAATTTCAGGGAATGGGCAAGTGGCAAGTGCCTACATTATTGTCGGCCTGGACGTCATTGTTAAGACTTTTCCACGTATGCTATTAATTTTTAGAAACAACAGTTTGTTTTGGTGGCCGGTTTACACCAATTAGGCGGGTTAATCTGATGGTGGTGTGTGTGTATATTAGCTGCATGTATTAAACTAAAAAGTACTTGTAATACCAAAGCATTTGTGTTTTTAACGCTGTAATCGTTTTTATCCGAGTGGAATTCGCTTTTGTAATATTTATTTTCACACAAAATCATTTAGTTTTTGAACTTTAATCCTACAATATAAAATACTATTCACATAAATTATCCAACCAACAGGAAATTACACTCTGCAGCGGTGTGCACCCTTCAATAAATAAGTTTTAGAGTATTTTTATTTTTTACTAGGTATTGCAACAAACATTTTCCAAAAACGAATACAATATCATTGTGAAAACAATACAACTCCCTCGATCTGCTCAGAATCTAAGATAAATAACTCGCAGTTTTAAATAATAAATTATTAAATACATTGGTTGAATATATGCGATATAAATATAATATAACGATACAAATTTACTAAATTAAATTAAATTTAGCAAAAAATAATAGTAAGTAAGATTAACCACCTATTATCATAAATCCTAGATATTATTTAATACGCGAGATGTTCAGATATTATGTGTCATAGACATACATTAACATTACCTATACAGTTATTTTTATAAATGTTTATTAATATCGATAAACTAGGAAAATGTCAAAAATAATAAATAATAATAATGGTATTCATCTAATTGTAAGTATTGATCCGTCATCCACGATCCATATCGACCATATCCGTATCCATATTATCAAATATTAAGTTCTAAAATAATAATATTGACTTAAAGACATAATGTTCACTATATCCTACAGACTATAGGTACCTAACAGTTATAATATTTGTTTTAGGTGAATTGTCAATAAACGAGTCTTAGTGAACTAAACTTGAAAATATACAATGTTAAAAAGTATTTTACAACCATTTATGGAACTTCCCTAGTTTTTGAAAAAATAAATACTGTAGAAAAACCGAGATCTTAATTAAAATTGGCAAATTTGTTGTTATTGTGTTATAATTACTGTAAAATAGTTTAAAATTTATGGCTATTGTTTATTAATTATTATTGTGTAAATTTCATATTATAATTTATCAATTTATAACCGACCCGAATTAATAAACATCTCGTGTAAGTTAAGAAGCGTATAATATTATATAAGGGGTAAACATTACATTACATTTTTAGAAAGATTTAGGTAATCATGTTATATTATTTGTACCTATATTCTTTACTCTACGGTACCTAAACGGCTACTTTACCTACTTACGCATATCATATAATTTAATTACATAACTATAAACTATAATAATCAAGTTATAACTTATATTGAGGCATGTCATCATAATATTAGTTAATGGCCATAGTTTCAACGGATTAGTTCTTAATAAGAACATGCAAATAGGTACCTAAGTCCTAAATCACATTAGTTGATACCCCCCCCCCCAATATGTAAATAAAATAAATAATGATTTGTATCAGTGGCGTAGCGTATGCGTATGCTGTGTATGCACAGCATACTCATCACAAAATGAAAAAATATATTTTTACATATTAATAATTCTATATTTTTGATAAAAATTTTTTGAATTTCATTGTACAAATTTATAGTGCTTCGTAATATAATATTTTGTGGATTTTTTTCCAAGTTCATTAGGACTGATTAATCCGTAACACCACGGCCTCGAAGCTCTATAGTCCTTATAGTCGCTTATATTTCTAGTCTCTAGTACAGTACCTCAGTACCTTGTTTATTATGTAAGCAGTATGTAAGTAGGCGATTGCATACGGGTACAGACTTTCAGCGACTGCAGTTGTTTAAAGTTCTTATCGATAATATTAATAACAAACCATAGAACGCTTATGGTCGTATATTCGTCACTCGTGTATGCGGCATCAGTATTCAATACTAATTCAGTAATCAATTTTTACATCGAACCTGAATCAGTTCGGATCTTTGTCGCGATTCGTTCAAAGTGAACGACACATCCCTACAGTATTGCATGCGCTATCGTTGACAGTCTATTATGAGTTGTAACGCGCATTAATTTTTAAAAAGTGATTTACTTTTTATTTATTGAATATAATATTTTGTTATGTACTAGGTAATGTAATATATATATCAATGAATAAGTCAGACTTTGTATGTTTAAAGTAAAATTTTAAAAACAGTATTGGGGGCGTGGGGGGCATAGCCCCCAACGATTCCATTGACTTACTATTTCAACGCATACGCTAAGCTGAAACCCACGTTACGCCACTGATTTGTATTGTAATTTTCATACTTATTTATAATACGATCGGGTAACTTAAGTATTCATTTAGACTGTGTAGTGTGACATTAGAATATTAAATGTTGTATTACTGAACAGAAAAATTAGCAGTACCTACTGTACGGTAGGTAATACAGTGTCGCTGTCGTATTTGAGTATTTCTCAATATGATATTGTTTTCGACATTTTCCAACCTTGGTAATCGTATAAATAGGAAATAAGCCGGTTTTTACCACTAATCGTTAGCCGCCTACGCGTTAACCGACTGTACAATAAAATTATTAACCATTTCAGTGGTAGATCTAGGGGGGGGGGGGGGGGGGTGCAAAGGGGGTATTTGCCCCCCAATCGCCGTAATTTCCCTTTGTTTTACCCTGTGTTTAGCCAATTTGTGTACTTTTTCCCCCTCCATGCCACCCTAAAAATTAAGCCCTAGATCCGCCACTGACCCATTTACCCATACGTGTATTTTGTGTTCTTCTTCGAATTATTTTTCATGTCGGAATAATAATAATAAACCCGATAAGCAGCTCATAAAAACGTAAGCACGAAGAGTAAACACAGGTATATTTTTAGAAGATTGGTTATTGGTATATAAGAACATTACTGGTTATTGGTATATCGGGTGGGTAGATATCGTTTAACCGTGTCGGCCTCCGACGTGTTACGACTTACAGAACTAAAATTATTTGTAGCAGTGAGGAATCTTCAATATTTATGAATTATAATCAATGACAATAATCCATTATCCATGAAATTTTTGGTCCAATAATGATCATTGCCAGTAAGTTGAGAATTATCGAGTTCTGACTTTCTACGTCATTGTTGGACATCGTTTGTTATATATTTTGATTAGTATATTTGTTTGTTTGCGTCTTGTTAACTCATATCTTGTCTTGACGCACACAAACCTCAACATTCAACGAGATTATAAGTTTTAAGGATTTAAAAAATAAACTGTGTACACATTTATATTGTCATTATGTTGTTTCATTTGTTCGGGGTCCACCATTTGGAAGTGGTGTGTGGGGGAACAAAAGACCTCACAGGTCTGTGTATTATTCATTTCATCCCTCGCCTAAACAAATTTACAAATATGCCACTTGAAAAGTTATTTATTAAAAACATATTATTTAATCCACATTTCACACATTTGATAATTTACATGAAAAATTACAACAGTTATAATATTGCCACTTGAAAAATAATATTATAATGAAATCCGTAATTTGTTTCTGTTTAAATTATGTTTTTTTTTGTCAGTATTGTGGGTAAGCAGTCGGAATAAAAATTGGATCCCATTAAAAAAAGAAAATACATACTTATTTACAAATATTTCTAACTTTCAGTAAAAGTATAAAACCTATTGGCTATTGATTTCGTATAAATTAAATTTACAAAAATTGTAGACAACTTTTTTATTTTATTTATAATACTTTCAATTCAGTCGATAAGAGTAGATTTTATTTCCACATCGTGAACACACAATTTATCTGCATTTAATGTTGATTCTTCGGGCATCGTAACTGAAAACAAAACAAGTAAAATAAAACTACTTGCGGTATATTCATGAAGTATAACAAACTAGAACTGTCAACCCATTTGTCCTGTTGATTGGATGGGGTTGTGGCTATTGGCTTTAACAGTCTTTTTGAAAAATGGTTTTCCATCAACCATGTCGCATCCGGTTTAACTGAAAAAAAATGCATAAAAATTTACACTTAGGCAATATTGTTTACATATTATATTATTATTTAATTAAATTTTTTTTATGCGATATATTTTTTGTATTAAAAAAATGATTGTACGAAATAACGGGTAAAGTATTAGGTAATTAGGTATAGCATATTTAGAAATATTGTAGGTACTTGGTTTGACGTTGTAACAAAAACATATAACTGGTATTTGTAATCGAAATATAATTATTTTTTCAACAGTTTAAACGAAAACATTATTTTACTATGGAAAATGTATATTTTTTAAATTAATTCAAAAGGTCATAAATCATAATTATAAGGATAAAATTTAATGCAAGATACAACAAATTTATTTTTATTAAAATGTTTATTTATTTATTTTAATTTTAAATTATTCAAAAATAATGTTTTTTTTTAGAAAAATAGTACTTACTTATTTTATTATGGGTTTAAATAAATTATTAAATAAAAAAATTACTATTATAATTCGAGATGTTGGCTTGATTATTTGCTGACAGATTTTGTGGCCCATTAATAGAACAAAGTGATTTCCTTAAAAAACAACACATTTAAAAACAAAAATGTTTTCATATTTTAGAAAACTTTAAAATTGTTACATTGTTTTTATCTCGTGAATTGTCTTTACTTCTTTAAGAATTTGCTGGTGTAATATTTTCTGTGGTTGGTTTTCAGTAGGTATAATATTTAAACCTTTTAATTCAGGACGATGGAGGTTGAAAAATGAATTTCTTTTCTGCTCAAAAGTTGTAATAAGCATTAATAATATACAATAAATTCAAATTTAGACAGTAATTCCTATAATACCTATAATATCTAGTTATCATTATAAACATTAGTTATTGTGGTTATAATACCTATAGTAATTTTATCTTAATATTTAAATATAATATTTTATCATTCATCTTATTCACTGTGGTCTGTGATCAAAAACAATGTACCTACTTAAATGATAAATTACAAAAATAAAACATATACCGATAATATTCTGTATTGGATAATTATCCACTCAATGCACGTTTCGCTAATCTCAGCACTAAATAATGTTGAAATGAAATGAACAAATATTATAATAAATTATCCAATTATTGTTAAGATAATATTATAGTATTATTCTCCTCGGAAATTTAAAAAAAAATTATCTATTAGATTAATAATATTTAATAAATTAAAACATTACCATTAGGAAGTACCTTGCTTTTTAACATATACAATAAGGTGTTCCTTAATTTACAATTTCAAAATTTGTTTGGTCTCCTCTAAATTAGTAAGACATTTAATAACTAAAATGGCCTTGAGTTAGTCAGAAAAGGTTAAGCAATTCCGAACTTGAACTTGAACTTTGAACATAATACATTTTTCAATATTTACAGAAAATATCCTTAAATATTTTGTAACCAATATAAATCTAAATATTAACATTTTGTATAGGTAATAGTTAAAAGTTATTTACATTTTCTAAACTTTTATGGAAATACATTTCATTGTATTTCTGGTCTTAGTATATCTATATTCTATATTGTATTTACTGTATAATAACACAATTTTATTCACAAATCACATCATTAATGGGTTTACACGTGCAGGGGCGGACTGGGACGGGTCCGGCACACTATTCCAATTTATTAGCGGCCCTAGGTGTTTTAGGGCAATTTTTTTTACTCTAATTGCACTTATGTTTTATGAACTTATACACGATGTATAACAGAAACACTCGACAAATTGAATAGGTAACTTTTGTTCTAATCATTTAAATATTTATTTTAAATAATTTATAGACTTTTGTAAGTATAGTATAATACCTATTTATAACACCAATAAAAAGGTGGGCAAGTGGATGTCACTGTAATGAATGGTATTAAATTTGAACTTAATGATATAATATCATTGTCTACGGAAAAGACGGTTAATATACAGTATTTGATGATACTATTGTGAATAAAGTACTTAGGTAATTAATTTCAGTACCTATTAGGAATTATAGTATTTACTATAGTAGGTTAAATTCATTGTTAAAGAAAAAATTACATTTGAAAATGTTATTGCGTGTTTATAAAATATAACAATATACTCTAAAAGTTTCATACACACAAATAATATTTTTAAATTGCAACAAAATAACTAAAATCATTATTCTTGGTTTTAATATGTCATTTCGTCCAAATTTGAATTAAAAATGTCAGTAAAAAATAAATGTTTCTTATAACTATATTCTTAAAACTATATTCTTCAACTATATTTTATAGATTTTTTGGTTACAGTATGAACTATTTATGAGAATCTTTGTTTTACATTTTTAATCCATAGTTATAAAAAATTAAAAACTGTACATTTTATAATTTTTTAAAAATACAATTATTGATAATTTTCGAGATTTTGATCAATTCGAACTTTATATACTTATATAAAAAATTGTGCCTATATTTGTATTTTTTCTATTTTTAAACTGCTATTGTAACAATATATCAGGAGCCTTATATTAAATTTTCAAACTGTTTAGCCCACAAAATAAAATTTAATTGATATTTATAAAAAAAAAACTAAACAAATTGAAATTTGAAATTGTCCGTAAACAGCTCAAAATGAGTCAAAATATTTTCAAAATTGTTATGGTGTATAGAAAATGAGAATACAAATATTCAGTGAAATTTTCATGAATTTACAGTTATTCATTTTTGAATTACAAAAAAATAAGGAAATCGCTACATGACAAATCGAGTTGATATCCAATGATGTAAAAATTTGAACTTCAAACGCTCATAAAAATTTAATTTTACTTTCTGGTAGATAATTTTTTTGACAAAAGTAGACAAAATTATGATGAATCTTGTATAACATTTTCAAATCTGAGTTTTAAAAATAAAAACTTTTACGAATTTCTAGCTAAAAATAATTTGTGCATTTTTGCGTATTTTGTCAATATTTGAACTGTAAATGCTTAAAAAATAAGAATTGTGACGATGGATTTTTAATATTTTTCATCTTCCTTTGAAAAAATATATTAGGAGCCTTCAATTAAATGTTCAAGAGTTTTTACCCAACAAATAGAATTTTATTGATATTTATAGAAAAAAAAATAAAATAGAAACTGAAAATGTCCGAAAACAGCTCAAAATAAAAGTTGAAAATGTTATGGTTCATAGAAAATTCTAATATAAACATTCAGTAAAAATTTGATGTATTTACGGTCATTTGTTTTAGAATTATAAAAAAAACTAAAGTTGATTTTGTCAAAAACCTATTAGGCGTAAAAATGCCTGTTTTTTCTTAATTTTCTTTTGAAAACTATTGGAAATTTTAAATTTTGACCTCCCGAATGCACTTACTTAATTCACCTTTAACAAGACACTGTTGAAGAAAATAGAAGCAGTTCTACTACCCCAAACAGTGACGGCAGACACAACAATTTAAAATTTAAAATTAAAAAAAACACACATGATTGGAAAATCAATACATTCATCACTCCGCTCGGAATCTAAAATTGTATATAATAAGTACCTACCTAATTTTTTTTTGAAAAATTTAAAATAAGTACCCAATTTGTAAATCTAATTTTTAAACACATTTTGATAAAAAAAAAACGTATATTTAAATCAAGTAGCTTATTTTTTTAAATTTTTTTAATATTATTATTTTGAAGCAAATTAATTTAAAACATAATAACTTTTTTCAAAATATTGTTTTTGGAAATTTCCTGACATCAGAATATTTCTTAAATTATTTATTATCCATGACATTTTCATGATTGTAGTCATATAAGTAGTGTAATGTTTTTCAGGCCATTCTGTTACAGTATGTTTAGGTAGGTATATAATATTATATACAATACATATTATTCCCAAAATTTTCTTTTAAATTTAAATTATTGAAATATAAAATAATACTAAACTTAGAAACCACCACGTTGGCAAGTACCTACTCATTACTCATAATATTGTATTCACTATAATTTCGTTATTTTCCGGCAGTTCTACCGTGCGGTATACGAATTTCAATCAATTTACAAAATAAATATCCTATATAAACCGAAATTAACTAATTTTTACTTATTTGTACTAATTTTTCGGAGCTAAAGCCTAATTATTCGTCTAATTTTACAGGAATAAAATAGTCAAATTGGCCATAGTCTTTTAATTCAATCTGAATTTATTTATACCTACTTTATAAATGCGTATACACGCCACACGGCATAAAATCCCTGACAGGACAATAACGTTTTACGTTTCCAGAAATAAAATATTTTTAATTGTATTGATATCCATATTATTTAATTATAATTTATATCTATATATATTATGTTTTTGGTATATTTTATATGGTAGTGTGCTAGTGTCTATATTGTGTAGTTTGTGATGGGCAATAGCAACCCAATCGTCCAATATATTACTATAAAATAACAAAAAAAAAACAAAAAAAAAATACAAAAATTATAGATATACATATATGCTAGAAATAGTAGCGGCCCAACACTTACAATCTGGTACCGGCCCACTGTGCTATAGAATAGTGTCACACCGGGCCAGTCCGCTACTGTACACGTGCATGTTTGTTGTGGCGCCATCATCTACGCGGCACCTCGCCAGTAATGTTGGAATATTCCAACTTTTATTTTCACTTGAGCGCCAGAAAATGTTTTCACCTCACTGGCGCCTCAACTTGCATTTATGCACTTGTAAACCTACCATAAATTATCTAATAGCTATATTAAAATATGATATAGGCTTTGATTTTATATTATAATTTTAATATGATTTTTTTTCTACCAACACATCATTTGTAATGCCTATTATTGCATTAATATTTATTAATTTAAGTGCATTCACCTATTCACTTATGATCTCAAACATTGTAATAATATTTCTATGCAAATTCTATAAAAAATATTTATTTATTTTTTGTTATCATATAATTATAATGAGGCCCGCAGAATAACCAGCCCATCAGAAAGATTCCTGATTGGCCTATCCGCCCCTGTATGTGTACGCCACTGGAATATACGACGTAGGTACTGATATTAGATAGGTATAGGTATCAAAATAATTACATTATTATTTATTACTATTACAATATCTGTATCATTTTGTTTTCAGAGATTTCGGTATAATTCAGTTAAACTTTAAAGATGAAAAAAATGTGTCATATATGGCTATAATTATTTTTTAAATGCTATTAAAATATACGTAATAGAAATATTCTCATGTCACAATAGTGAGTGTATACATTTGAAGGGTTACGGGGAAAAACGATAATAGTCAATATACCTAAAATGTTCAGTATTGCAGTTTTAAATTGGGATTCTGGCCTTTTTTCCCAGTTATGGTAATATTTAAACCTGTATTATATCATTGACCGAGATCTTTTTTCCATAACTCGATTCACGTGTCGATTTGTTATGAAACTAACCAAAAGGTACTACCTATAATTATTTGATTTTTTTCTTTCTTTTGACTATGATCGTTTTTCCCAGTAACCCTTCATTTCTATTATGAATTAATATTATTCCATACGTTTTACATAAATAATTTAATCAACCATATATTGTAAAAGTGGATCGCGGAGTTTAGTATAATACTATAATCAAATACTAAAGTGATATGGCGTAGCTAGGTATTCGAATCAAAAGGTGTTCTATGTGAACATCAATCAACCTTTATTGAAGTACCTACTTATTAGTATATTATATAACTCAGTGGGTCACCACACCGAAGTGGGTGGACTCCTCCATCCAATAAGTTAATAAAACATTTAAATACTATTTTACCAACCCTCGTAGATGGCAAATAATAATTAATATTATAGGTACGTATTAACTCTATTAACATAATTCATATAATAATTTATAATACTTATTTAAATTCATGTTAATAAAAAAAAAAAAGTGATTTTTGATTGAAGCCCTCACGACAAAAAACAAGTTGTGATGTCGCCGATAAGAGTCTGCTTTTTGTAGTTCATTTATTAGCCGTTAAGTAGGTACCTATTTATATCAAGTGAAAAATTTACAATTACGATTTCCTTTAGTGTAATACCTAATACTGTACCTACCTAATAATCTAATAAAGTCAAAAGAAAAAAATTGAACATTATGGTTTATTAATATTAATTCTGTAAATAAATGTGCACCTCAAGTCAGTAACATCATTTCTGTAATTATACCTCGCTGGTCTGACACCAGCTAGTGGTTAATCCGACAACCTCAGTAATCCAAGTACCCAACACTTTCTTTTCGCTTCCTCATTATCATATAGACTATAGTAAATAAAATAAATGCCATTTGTGGATTTGACTTTACAACATACTCAAAAACCAAAGTATCTGTATTCAGATATTCTGGTTTGGAAACGAAAATGACCGAATAATATATTATATGAGTGTAAATGTGTAATGGTGTACGTAAAATACTATATTATGTATATAATGATATATAATAAATGGTACAAAATACGAATATTCAAGTTTGACAATATTATTTAATACATTTAATATTATTATCTTTGAATAATTAATTTAATACAGATTATTAAGTTGTACAAGGCTACAATTACTTATATAGGTACTTTATTTTATCATAGTCACAAGACACAAATCACAATAACGTAATAACATAATATTATTTTTGCCGTGCTCATTCATTTATTGGTGTCATAAATAAATAACAATACGAAAATTTAAAGTTATTTACTTCTTCTGCCCACGATAATCTCCTGATCTTCCACTTAAATATGCTCTCTGTGGGAACAATCATCAGCCAACTATATTGCACTAATAATTTCAAGTAGGTACCCCGACTCAACAAGTAACTTATTGTCTAAAAAATAATAATCCTAGTTCCAAGCATACAAATGTCACACAACAACCATTCCCATAAAATAAAAACGTGCATACTTATGATGATCGTGCCAACCAAAATTACACTGTTTTCTCTAATCTGACATAAATAATATTATAATGTCGAGCTTTCTAGAAAACTTCAAGTCTAGACGCTCCAGTTGCGTGAATAATTGATAGATTATTCATTGTTATTAATAAATTACTTACATAATTACTTTGAATACTTTATTTAAACGGATTTAGCATTAGATAATTTTGTAACTTAAGCTTTAAACTAAGTTGTGATTTTATGTCTATGTAAGTACATGTGTAATGCTTAGAAAGCGTAAAAAAATTATTTAAAATACGAACAAATTGAAGCATCTTTGTTGTAAGTAACCTATCATGTTAAATAATATTCAGGCCCCCTTCACATTTTAAAAACCTGGGCACCCACTGCAAGTCTCTTATAAATCTTTTATTGGCTCCACCTAGAAAGGCTTATTTCAGTTAGTTAATAAATAAAAAAAGTACCTACCACCAAATATTGTATTATTTTTACAATTTAATGCCAATGACATATAAATGAGCTAAAAACAATGCGTACTTATATAAACGGGTTGACATTGTGATTATCGCTGAAACACACTTCACAAAAAATTCAAATTTCTTTTTCCTGTTTAAAAATTATGTAGGTACCTACTAGTGTACTATACGATCTACGATTTACGGAGTAAAACATATTCAGAAAACGTACATTATAAATAATAAGCAATAATAATTAATATTATCAAACATAACAAATCTATATCATTGTTTTGCCGTTGTGACATTTTAGCATATACCTACCAAGATATCGAGTTTCAAAAATTATTAATATTATTAAAATAACTTTACTTTGATAACATATTCTTTAGATCTCATATTTCGTACAGAGATAGTAGCTAGTCCATTCATTATTAACTTTTGATTAATTTTTAGTTCTGTTCCATCATACAACGGCACAATTTTTGGAATTGATTCAGATATCATTTCTTTCTGTTAAAAAGTTATAAGTTAAGTAAATTAAATCAATTCAAAAACTTTAAAATAATAATTATATTAAATTTATAAGATAATGTATTCATTGTCTTAAAATGCCTACTATATACTTATAAATCAAAGATAATAATATATATTATATATACTATTATAGTGTTATGGTATATATCTAAATTGAAAATTGTCATGTTTTTTTTGTTTTTAAATTACTTATAAATTATTTCTACATAGAAAATTATACTCAACGATATTACTTGATTATGATAGTCAGTATCATATAAGTCATTTTCTGTAGATAAATTGCTTTTTCCTTTTTTAGCACGTAAGATAGTTCCCATAATTATAAATACCAATTTCGTTATAAAACAATTTGTGTTTGTGTTTTAAATTAGAAACAGTTAGTGATACCTAACTGCAGATTTAAATATTTTATAAACAAATATTTTTCGTAACTAAAGAAAAAAATGTAGAAAATGGCTAGGTAACCAGAATAATATCGTGTTTCATTAAAACTTAAAAGATTTATTATTCAATAATTTGTAAAACCAGTAAAAACGTCAGTACCATCGACCGATTATAATTTTAATTCACTATTTTGATTTAGTATTTATATAGATACATCGAATAAATCAAAAATTTTTTGCCTACTCAAATAATATGTTCTAACTATCGCCAAAAACAATAACGAAACTTTCTACCACACTTGTTTTAGTGCCCGTACAACTAAAACTATAAATTCTAGTACACAATAGAGTATTACACTATACCTAGTCTATAATATTTGTTATTAGGTAGGTACTTATTAAAATCGAATTATTAACTAATTTGCTACAATGCTACAGCACATAGTGTGTGTGCTTCTGCACACAATTTAAGTTATTAACTTATAATCAGTACGTTAGCTAAATATAATGATAAATTTATACAGCATACATTCATTTATTATTTATTACAAATATGTAGATATAATAATATGTATTATGTACGTAATGTATATTATGTAAATTAAAATATGTTTACACATTTTAAAACAAAATATAGGTACAGAATAATAGTTAATTATTACACCATAATATTAAATACTAACGTAAATTGACTCCTAACATGTAAAACCTATAAATTATAAGTAACGGAAAGGAATATAGTTTTTTAATTTGATGGAAACCGGTGACCGCTACTATATTATTAGGGTACATCCAGATTTTTAGAAATTACCCTAGGGTGTTGTGAGTCAAAAAAGTTTGAGAACCTCCATTTTATCCATATATATATATTTATGGTACTTACCTATTGAAAAACTATATGATGATTTGTCTCTGGACAATATGTACCTGCAGTGTAAGTATCTGCCACGTATTATTATTAAACTACACAATTTATATTAAAAAAATTAACAGTCGATACTTAATACTTGTCTATACTCTTGTCATTCCTCATAGATTACGGATATAACAAGTATAGGTACTTATCTAGTAATGATTATGTATAATATTTGGTACCTTTTACTTAACCGTCTTAACCCATTAAGACTCAGTGGTTTTCAAACTGGGTGCCACAAGCATAAACTTAGTGTGTCGCGGTCTTTCGGAAAGTGCAACTATTCGTCCAAGAATCAAATATAATATAATCAATAACAATTTGTTAGCCCATCAAACACACATTTATAATTAAATGTACTTATATAATTATAATTCAAAACAATTTTGTTCGTCTAATTATTTAGTGCAAAAAAAACGTCACTGTGCCGTGAAAGTTTTTTGAGGAGCATGGTGGGCCGTGTTTAATAAAAGTTTGAAAACCACTGCATTAAATATTATAGACAATAGTACATAATATAATACATAGATATAGATAACGAGCAATTATAGTGCTCTACAATTGTTTCACCAAATATATTGCTATATAGGTAGTACAGGTACATATTTGAGTGTGCCGTAAGAGCCTAATAATATATTGTCTATAAAATTAAAATATTATAATCTATGAGGCACACTTGTGTTTTGTTATTAAATGTTCCAACTCGCCAACTCCAAATTTCCAACTCGGTAAGGTATAACCACGGTTAAATAGATTGTTACCTATTAGTTATTATATAATAATATATTAATAGTTATTTTAGATATACAATCTTTAATCGTGGTATCGTGGCATCGTGCTCATAACCGTATTGATTAAATATTTATATTTAATTAATGGCATAACGTGACAACATTTAAATTTGATTTTAAACGTAGTACCTTGTAGTTTGTACCTACCTATTAATTAATAAGCCTAAAGTACACAATACTTTATACTACTATAAGAAATACCATTATAATATCGAAATTAAACAATACTATAATTATGTTAATGTTTGACCATCGAGGTATTTTAAATGTATATAACCGTATCAGTGTCGGCCTGGCCAAGGCAGCTAGGCAGCAATCGCTGCCTGGGCCCCGTCTTTTTTTTTATATATATATATATTTAAATGCGGTTGTGACTTGTGGTGCGAGCTAAGTAATATAATAATAGTAAATAAGTAAAAGTGGAATTATTGGGTAAATTGTTTAAAGTACGAACTACTACATAGGACTGGACACTACTGGCAGGGGGGGACACCGGTCACAAAGTTGTACGGGTGTGTACGTTTGCGACTGTGATGCTACCTAGTGACGTACTAGATTTACTGCATATTTTCGTACCTATATAACTATTATGAACGTAATATTTATATTATAATATAGACTTATAAAATAAGAAAAAAAAAGAAAAACCAATCGATTAACTTAATGAATATTATTTAAATTTTGTTTAATTTCTACTTCAATTTCTATAATGAGTCTGTTGTATCTTTTTATATTATTATACTTCACCAGTGGCGTAAATAGGGGGGAGGCCTCCTAGGCGACTAGGCCAGAGCCCATAGTGAAATTGCAGGTTAAATTAAAGCATTTCATATTTTCATGTATATTTACACTGTTTATAGTTTTTCGCCATGATTAATTTAGCCGGTTGATTAAAATCGTTTTTGAGGAATCCACAAGGAAATGATTGTATTATTAGGAGTCGATTTTACAAGTTTTACTCATAGATACAATATTTAAAATATTACAAAATAAAATTATTTCGAATAATCGATACAAATTACAAATAATTATCAAACAATAGTTACTGAATGTATTAACCTATATTTTTTTAAAAGAACCATTAACATATTATTTACCTATGTTGTTTCAAATCAAAAACAAAATACCTAATGTTATTGTTAATGTTTGAACACTATTTATTATACAATCATTTTTTAATGATAGCTATTCCTAAACCTTGTGTTTATTTATAATTAAATATTAACAATGTGGTAATTACATTAATTAGCTTTTAAAAAACATTTAATCAATCAATTTCATGTGATTATGTGAGTACCTAATATTGAAGTCTGGGTGTTTTTTCCTAGAATCGGGGATTTTTATTTCGAAATTCACTGTCTATAATAGGTATTGTATAGTATTATTATAGTTCTGTGCATTTATTGCAATATTATGTATAATACCGAATTAATTATCGTACCAATATACGGACATAAATCGTTAACTTGCGATGTAGTCTATACTCTATAGATAAAGAAAAATAGAAATTGATTACTCTACGTTTATGTGTAAGTATGTACGTTTATGTATTAGTCATTCTGGTATGTACAACAACTTGTATCAAGTTTTTAAATACATAATGCCATTGCCATCAACTCAAGTCACGCGTAAAAGAGTATTTTCCAAGCTAAAAGTAATCAAAACCAAATTAAGATCGCCACTCGATCAGCAGCATTTAGAACCACCAATGCTTTTGGCTTTATAGAAAAAGATATTACTTTAAATGTAGACGAAATAAAACTAATAGATGACATAGCAAAATCGTCAAAAGAAATGACAAGACTTTTAATATAATATATTTAATGTATTTATTTTATATATACATAGTTTTTTTATATAAAAGTTGAATACCTGTAAATTTAGAATAAGAGAAAAATTTAACTTTTTTTTAAAATTTAAAATGACAAATTTAGAATCTCTTATATACAATGTGTATTACATTTTTATGACCATTTTTCATATTTATGATTCATTTAATTTAATTATAATAAATAAATTTTGTAGTAGGGGGGCTGGGGCCCTTCCAAATAAAATCCTGCCTGGGCCCTTTAGAACCAGGCCGACACTGAACCGTATCATTCCAAACAATTTACAAAGCACGTATTAAAATGACAAATTACTGCAACAAACTGTTTGATCTTAATTATTTTGAAAAAAATATTGTCCTCACATTTCAGTAATCGGTATTATTCTTACAAAGTCAAGCGAGGAATGCTGAATTATTTTTCTTGGAAATTTTGAAATACGAAAGTAAATGCAGTAATGCTTTAGTATAGGTACCTAAAAGATAAAAAAAACTTCAGCCAATAATGAACTGTAAGACTATAACGCCTTCTTAAATTAATTTCTGAATATAAGCTTTTATGTTTTAATATGCAACTTTGCTCGTGGCGACTGTTGACTGTGAAACATCATTCGCTACAATTTTGTTCCGTAATTTTCTTAATAAGTACTTATAAAATTCTCCACCGATTTTTTCCATTTAAAAATATATTTCTCAAGAAAATTAAACTGTCTTCAAACAAACCAGGCACCACGACATTCAGCTGAAGCGCCTCCTGTCTTCAACTTTGATAACATAAAAATAATTAGGTACTTAAATAAATCGTTATCTACACAACGACGGCCTCGCTATACGGCAACTCCGGTTCTTATCCACTTTGTGATTAATATGATTAACATAATCAGCAGAGCACACCATGACCGACATTATACAATTTATTTACAGTAGACCTACTACAGTTCTAAAGTAGCCACATTAAACAATGACACAGCAATAACTTCATCTAGCTCTGACATAAACTATGCGGCGAAAATCTCTTAGACCACATAACAAAAGTAAAAAAATGGTTTTGTTGGAAAATTAAAATAAATGAAAAGATATCGCAATCTACGCATATCACCTTCAGCCCTTTAAAAGGTTTTTATTTACAATCTATATTAATAAATACAATAAGTCAATTTGACCTAGAAGACAGAAAAAAAAATACAAGAGAAACGTGAGTAGAAGAAAATATATTCAGTGATACCTATTACTCAAAATAATGTAAAAAAAAAAGTAGTCATAACATTTTTGGCCTCCCCACGAATTTAAACTCAGTGAGGCCTATTTTTTTATAGTAATCTTTACTGATAATAAATAAAAAAAATAATAATAATATCTATTACCTAATACCTAATCTAGTTTGAGCTAAAAACTTTATATATTT